ATCTTGAAACAAATGAAGTCCATTCCAAGAACGTCAATTCCAACAAAGGAGGTCCATAACAATAGGTGAGATCACAAATGTAATTTACATCGTTCTCGCATTTGAGTTTTTTTATGCTGAAGTAGATGACAGTAATCTTGCATTAGAAAAATTTCGCTTTAGAAACATTTTGTTTGTTATTTAGATCACTAAGTGAGGTCAAAAGAGGTTTACACCAGAAATCTCTGATGTGAACATTCTAGTGATTATCTTTTTGCTGGTTTCAGTGTTTTACCGTATCATCTATATGCCGAAAGGACAAATTCTGAGAGCTGTCAACAATCCTCTATAGAACAAAGTCCTACCAATCGTGCCCTCTCTATCAGAAAAGTAACTACATTGATTTTAACAGTTAATTTAGTGAAGAGAATAAACTCCATAGCTTCTTAAAGTTGGTTTTTTAGAACTGTTTAGCATTTGATAACTTCGTAAAAGCAAACGCGCTTTATTTTTATTTACGTAGTAATTAAACCAAGAACAATTCAAGAATTCATAGTAACTCAGGCTCATAATTTTGTGACTACTGTAAGGCCTGAATCAACTGGTAAAATATTAACCAGTACCCGAGGATCTTTAACTATTTTATTGTTCAACGCGCGCATATAGACGGCATCACATACACGAGGCTTTTGGAGTTCCACACCCTGAGAAAATCAATCATTCAAAATGAACTTTCCGTTCACTGAGATGGAAAATTACCTAGCCTTTGAGGGAAAAGTGTAAGTTTTTGCCCGTGACACCCAAGATTAAAGTCCGGAACATGCACCTCTTCTTTTGACATTTTTCAGAATTTCTCATGGCTTATTTGTTCCCGCTCATTTTACTAATACTTTGTAATTAAAAATTGAATAATATTTAAGGAACATTAATCCACCTGTTACTTGTCCCTGATGGATTGCCAAAAGGTAATCTACTTTGAAAAGGAGAACAGTGCGATTGTGACATGGAATATGAAGGAACGAAAAGGGGTGTGGTTGATCAAACTGCATTGGCAGCCTCTAAAAACTAAAATGATGTATCTCTCCACTGAGTGACACCAGTAGAAATGTCAGGAAAATCGATATTATTTGCAATTAGAAAACTCTCACTTCACCTATCTGAAACATTTTTGACATTTACAAAGATATTTTTTATCTTATTACGAGCGTAGGAGAAAGAAAAAATTTTGAGTCTCTGCGGCTCAGTGGTAGAGCATCGGAGCGCGGGATCAAAGGTCTGATTTGCGATTCCTCATGGGAATTCAGAATTTTTTTCTTTGTCGCACATCCGTAACGAGATGAAAAACATCTATTTGTATTTCTTTACCGCGCTCAAAACTTACACATGGATTTTAGGCATATAGGCTAGAAAAAAACTGTTTGATCGCAGGATTTCATGGGAAGGAGTTACTGTTAGTTTAGTTACTAACAGTAAAAAAGAAAGTGAGTGGGCAACGCTAGTAATTTAGTGCAGTGTTGATCAAAAAACCCAAGTATATTTTATATACAGTAGGTTTTTGGGTTGCAAAAACTGGGAAAAACATCTCTTTAAAATAAAATGTCAGTTCACTGAGATGGCAACTTCCAAGTTTTTGCCTCGACATTTATGGTAGAATTAAACATCTTCCTCTAGTTGTGACATTTGCAGTTAATCTTTTATGCCAATTTTACTTTCGGAAATTTTGCTTTGTAGTTCAAAATTAGAATATCGTTTTTGGAACAAGAATCCATTTGTTGCTATCTCTTAATGGATAGGTAAGGGGTGATCCAATGTTTTATGTCTAAGTTGCATCAGACATAAGAACACAAGTGCTATGGTGACAAGGAATATGAAAAAGAGAATTTTATTAGTTAATTAAACTGCATGTGCAGCTTACGTATAATTTTCAAGATAAACGGCAGTATGAATGACAGATTATCACCCTTCGTCAATTTTACCGAATCAAGGCGCAAAGGCCCACTCCTTGATTTAGACGTACAAAAACAGATATAGGAAGGAACAGTTTATATTTTAGGGGCCCGATAATTTGGAACTCAATTAACAGAACTTCTAGATGCATAGAGAAAGTTCAGGAATTTAAAATAGCACTGAAACGTAACAAAAACCAGTTGCGGAAAGTTAGCTTCATTCGCGGAACTGTTACAAATTCAAACAAGGACTTAGACAACTTTATATATTATTAGCTTGAAATAGTTAATAGTACATGGTAGAATTTGAATTGACAAGCACTATCTTTTCGCAGCCTCCGCTCATTTCATGCAAACGCGACAAAAACATAGGCAATTTTTTGGTCAGAAGTTCTTTTCAGACTAATGACCAACCAGGCACTTTTAAATGCGCTCGTGCACGACGCACAACGTGTCCTTTCATTCACAACACTGATAAAATATCGGGACCTAAACGATCCATTAAGATCA